TTCCTCTGGACTTTTCCTTACTAGGGAGAAGAAAATCGCAAGAACTAGAAAAAGACTCAGAGTCCTGTGTGGACTTCCGTGTGGGTGAGCCTTGTTCGGTAAACGGCTACATATGGCCCTAACTTGGCCCCCTGCTGATGGAAAAGCAACCGGTTCTTAGGAGGTGCCAGATTGGAACCAACTAAGCACTGGCCCGAGCACCAGCACCTGGTGCTTCCTGGTGGAAAAGAGGGATGTGAACCCAGACCTCCACCAAGCAGCTCATTTCCACCATATTGTGATTTCCAGCCAATGTTAAAGTCCTGCAGTCATTTTATCAACACTATCAGATTCATGGAGAATCAAAACATATCTTTAACATTTGAATTAACATTAATATTATTAATAACAAGCTGACGGAGTGATAAACGGTAAATATGTACTCTCAAATATTTTGTAGACTTTTGTTATTTCTGCAGTTCCTTACTAGCTTTTAAGCTGGTAGCTAACGCTATGCTAGGTTGGCATAACTACAGCAATATTATTGCTAACATAAACAGACGGGGAGTAACTTAAGCTAGGTTAGCACAGCATTAGCAATGTAAATGAAAAGCAAGACCGATGCAACGAAGCAGGCCTCAGTCGTCCTGACACATGACAAAGAGAGTTAAAGTGAAACAGGAGACATGTTGAGTCATTGTTAATGTCACAACGTCGTTATGAACTTATCTGTCAGGAGCTCGGCTCAGGAGAACAGTGTGTCTGCAGACCCGGAGGGGGTCTACTGCCGCTCAGCCCACTCCTGAAATGTCGCCTGGCTGTAGCCTATTCCTGTACTACTGAGGACTGACTAGAGTCAGACCTCCATCTAGTGGACAAACGGCGCAACGACAGTATTCTGCACGACTTTGACACTTAACAGCATTTACTGTTCTGTAAGAAATTAACCAGACGGTAAGTCAGAACATCACCAACATTTAATCATCTGTTCATTGCGCCATTATCAATGTTTCCTGAAAATTTCATGGAAATCCATTCAAACAAAACAACAAACAGATAACCGCCGGCTAAAACATAACCTCCTTGGTGGAGGTTATGTTTATAATAATAA